GTGACAGCGGAGACCTCCCCTCCCCTCCCCCTTCGCCCCCGCGCGTCTCCTGCGGCCGAGGTCTTTTCATCACAGCCAACTCCCCGCGCATCCGGAGGCCGAGGGATGGCCTGGAGGCGAACGCAAAGGCGCAGGCAGAATGCGAAAAGAGGATCTGGTGAGTCGCAGAGATCTAACCAAGCAAATTTTCAGATTTATTTTAAACTGGTCTGGGGAAAAATTTGTATCTGCGACATTAAACCTTGACATAAAATATTAATTTTCGGATGAATGCAGTAAATCGGGATATTTATTTAAAGCGTTTCTTTCAAAATTGATTAAACTCTACTGTCAGCAGGAAATAGTGCTAAATCAATAACAGAAGTGAAATTAGAAGGAATTATTCGGGCACAGTAACTCATTATTTTGTCTAGATTGCTTGAGTATTTTCCCAATTGAAAGGGGTCCTACACAGCGTAAACAGACAGTTTGTATCTCCTGTCTTAGGATTCTTGTATTCTTTCGGTATTACATATTTACTATTTTGATACGTCAGAGTTAAATTACTTTACTCTTCATTTACAGTATGAATAACATTTTTCTACGAAAAATTGGGATGACAACATTCTGAGTTTTTTCACTATTCTGCAACACGAGAAATTAATTACGAATATCCGAAATGTACCGACGGCACATGTTTGCAATTATGGAAGTAATTGTGCTTCAAAAGACCGGAGTTCGCGAGAATAGAACACTTCAGTAGTATAATGTCGTTGATAGAAACGTAAAGGGCATGAATTTAGCTCCTTATGTTCTAGAACATACCTTAAACAATTTCATAATTAAAAACATAAAAGTTAAAAAACTAATGTAAAATTAGAGAATTAAGAATATTTATAAGTAGGAGTCTTTCGTATGAGCTTCCAACGCATTGCACAGAAGATTTCACTCTAATCGCAGTTGACTGTATATTGATGTTGTGAATTGACGAACACAGAGAATGAATGGATAACAAATGGAGGAAGAACGAGAAAATCAGAATTGTAGGAACTGTTACCACTACACATCCTAAAAGGATGGATAAAACTTGAACTCCATCAGGACTGATCTTTTCTTTATTTTTCACTCCAGAAAGGTCGATTGAGCAGGTTATCTAAATGCCAACGGTGGTAGTTTGAAGACAATGGGAGTCACAATGGGAGATTTTAGAAGTGTTTATCATTGTTGGGTATGTTGATTGTGGCTCGTAACCGTGGTTGCTGTTATATATTGGTGATAGGGGATGGTGATCATGGTTGGTATTCATAGTTATCGGTCATGGTTGGTGATCGTGTCTGGCAATCGTGACGGGAGATCAGGATGGTGATCATGACTGGTGTTGATGGCTGGTTTCGGGGATGGTGATCTTGATTGGATGTCGGGATGGTGATGACGGTTGGTGATCGGGAAATATGATCGTAATCTGGAGATCGGTTTGGTGATCGTGATTGGTGATCGTGGCTGCTTTAATGGCTGGTGATCATGATTGGGGGTCGGGATGGTGATTAGATATGGAGTTCGGAGATTATAACTGTGGATGGACATCGGGATGGTGATCCAGATGGAGTTTGTGGTTGGATATCAGAATGGTGATCGTGTTTAGTGATCGTAACTGGGCCGTGGTAATATTCATGAGGTCATTATGCCGATATGGTCGATCTCCGCCGCGTGAGTGACGTCGGTTCTGGCGGCCAGAGTGGTGGATGTGTGTGGTGTGTGCACCTGCTCCGAGAGTAGCTCAGGCGCGGCATGCCGGGCGGGCGGGCCGGCGAGCGGGCGGGCGGGCGGTTGGGTGGTAGGGCGCGTCGCCAGACCGCCCGCCCGCCGCCTCGCCATCGCCCAGCCTTCCACGGCGCTGCCTCTACCCGCTGCTGCCGCTGCGGCTGCTGCCTCTAGCTACTCGGCTCGTCCACGCTGCCCGGGCGACGCGCACGACGGCGTCGAGGCGGAGTCTCACCCTCTGCCAGGTCCTCATCCTCACCATCGTCGATCACGTTCCGCACCGCGTCGGTGGCGTTTCCTCCTCGCCCGCCACCGCCACCGCCGCCGCCGCCGGCGCGGCCGCCGTCACCACCCGCCGCCGCCGCCGTGCCGTTGCCGTCCGCCTCCTGCAGCAGCCGCCGCCGCGTCGCCGCCGCCGCCACCCCCCACATGCTGACGCTGGCTAGCTAGCGCCGCCGCGGCCGCGAAGCTTTACGCCGACCAATGGCAGCGCGCCTCACATCCCCGTTCGCGCCCGGCCCGCCGGGGCGCTGGCCGCAACACATACGCAGCCACTCCCACGCGATTACAGCACCTCCCGATGCGGCATGCGCTGAAACGGTTAGTCGCCTCGTCACGTAGCACTTCCGCCCACAATAAATTCCTCCGCTGGCTAACGCGATCCCAAAACCTACTTATGATGAAGGTCGCGAACCCACTCGTACCTTTACACAATCCTCATCTTCACACCGTGCGGTCGACTATCTTCCCGCCTACTACTTTGCTTCCGGGCTGTTCTCGTACGAATATGTCTCCAGGAAAGTACGACTGATTCGTCAAAATGATATGATTTTGCTCTGTTTAATTAAGAGAACTGATATGATGGGAAATGATTCCTAGGATTGCGAATTCGTTTCGAATCAGGGACGGAAAAAAATGTTGATGTTTCTTCAGTAATGAATGCGTCCACTGGCAATGCAATCTGCAACAGAAAAAAAGGTGTATACGGTTGAAAGATTTGTTAATTAGCGCAGAAAACGCCTCATACAAGATATAGAAATGCACATATTCAAACATCGTTTTTTGCCGAAATATACCAATTAGCATATTTTCTACTTCCTTACCCACGAACTCCAAGAGCCTCCTCATTTGAAATTTCAACTTTAAGAAACGTTCCATACTTATATATGAGCCTGATATGGTATTGGAATATTTAAAATGTTTTCAGAACTGTTGCCTGTAACCGTCATTGATATTTCGATGAGGCGCATAATAACATTCATTCCTGCAATGCTTTCACCATGTTACTGTAAAGTGATTAATTACTGTAAAGTTTATTTAGAAAGAAGTTCGTGCTTTCTACGCAACCAAACTTCGTGATTGTTTCTTTAAATGAAATGTAATGGACCTCACATGTGTTATGGCTTGGTATTATTAAATGTTTTTTATAGTTAATAAAATATTAAAATTAATCAAACAAAACCTCATCTGCTGTCATTTGACGATTATGTCGTTGCGGTGTCAGAGTTGCAATCGATCGAACAAGATATCCGCGGAACCGGAGAAGGCAACATTTGCCGATTGATTCTGGTTGTATGATTTCGCGAACAATATTTTTGCTTTGTGATTAAACTTGAAGTGTTATTTAAATTACCTCAAGTGAGAGGCAAATGGACAGCGACGTTTGATGAGTGGCAATACAAATGCAGCTGATTTAGTTGTTGGTGGAACAAACGATCACGGCATATCATTCCTGCATACACTATATTCAGTAAATTCCTAACAGTTTCGTTCAAATAATTTGTAAACCTCCTTTATTTACTCGGTTTTAATGATAAGAAATGAACGACATGACACAATTTTTTGGAGTTTTCGATTATCCATATAGTGAAAATGTAGCAGTTCCCTTTTTTCTACAACTCTACATCTTTTGTGGGATTAGACAAGGATTGCGCCAATGATTCAGATAATCAATATATAATATTTGAAAACAACATATCTACAAGAGACAACTGATAAATATGTAACTAAGACTTGGTAAGTGCAGGTGTACATTCCCGTGGTCTTAGGGGGCCAATTCCCGACAAAAATATAATAATAATAATAATAGTAATAATAATAATAATAATAATAATAATAATAATAATAATAATAATAATAATAATAATAAAATACGAAGTAAGTGGCTAAGTAGCTCCCTGACAATCGGGAGGTCTGAGTTCGATCTCTGACCCGACCATGCTGACCGGGGTTTTCGTGGCTTCCCTCAGTCATACAGGCGAATGCTTGGGATGGTTCAAAAAGCCCATGATCACCTCTAATCATCTCCTATCACATCAGTATAGATAATTCAAGGCTTAGCAACTTTGTCTCGTGAAGGGAATAAGCCAAAAAACTGCTCCCCATAATTATCGTTAATAACACGTTAATCATTCCAGAATCGAAAACGACAGCCTTGGAAGACAACTTGTAGCGTTGTCAAAAATGGTCTGTATACAAAAAATAATAACAATAATATGATTGTTGTAACAATAATAACACAGACACAAAAATATGATTTTTCTCATTACCTCAAACAATTTAAAATACATGTCTGCTTAGAGAGATGGCTAGTGATCTGGCGCCAACGATATAGGCAATCTGCCATTTAAAATGAGTATTGTCCGATCAGGAGCCACTACCACCTTCTCTAACAATTATAATTTATCTCAATTAAAACGTTAAGGTAACATGATCTGACCCATCGGTTAGAAATATCTCTGATTTGTTAAGATATTCTAGAGTTTTTCTTTTTAGATTATGTTAAAAACCTTATGTGAAGGAGTAAAATGTACACTGGATTTGGATTTAGCGATTCCCCCAAAAGTGAACCCCAATAGAAAACATAGTGTGATCTCTACACACGAACACAATGTGTGTTGGTGTGTGTGTGTGTGTGTGTGTGTGTGTGTGTGTGTGTGTGTGTGACTGTGTAAGAAGCTGGCAAGTGGGGCAGACAGTTTCTGCCGCCGTCGTCATCGCAGAAAGAAATGGATACGATCATTTCAATTTTGGATATTTTTACAATTTAAAATATTTCCAAAACATGAAAATTGGTAAACTTCAAAAATTAGAAAATGTTCAGAATTTAAAGTATTCCTCAAACATGAAAACGTAACCCAACATGTCTCACCCGTAAGCTAACAATTTAAATTACATTCCCCATATTTCCAAAACATAAAAATTGGGAAATTTCAAAAATTAGAAAATGTTTATAATATAAAATATTCCCCAAACTTGAAATCGTAACCCAGCATGTCTCGCCCATAAGCCAACAATTTAAACCACATTTAGCAATTTCCTGATCTTTTGACAGAAGCACCGTTTCGCAAGTGATTGCGGTAGGTTGGAGAGCAGGAGGCAGAAGGGGGAGAGGGCAGCACCGGTGGCTTCTACGAAGATGGCGGCGGTGCCGCGGCGCGAAATCTTCGCAAATTAACGCGCTTTACGCCTGGAGCCCCGCGAAGCACCGCCTACCCGCCTGCACAGCGCTTATTCATGTGGCTTAGGGGCTCGGGCGAAGCGCCGGCGAATAACTCACGTCCCCTTCGAACGGCCGCTCGTTGCCAGCTTTTTACGCTCGGGCAAGTCGGAAGCAACCAGTTGAGGTGGGAAATGAACATAAGTCGAGGAGAGGGGGCAAACGACCTCGTAGGTTGGATTACATTAAAGCTGGATATGGTTATTTACTTAGAGGTATACTGGTCATTTGATTAGAGGTATCCATTTTACTACATCCAAATCCAGTGACCATTTTACTCCATCATATAAGGTTTTTAACATAATCTAAAAATAAAAAATCTAGAATATCTTAACAAATCAAAAATATTTCTAACCAAGGGGACAGATTATGTTACCTATATGGTGATTAAGTCACTGAAACCGACTCTGAAGACCATTTAACTTCATAACATATTTTTTAATTGAGGTATTATTAGAGGTATTCATTTTATAAAATGTTCTTTTTAATATAAAATAATTAAAAAGTAGCTGAACTCTTGGATTACATTGCTATGGAATATCTATAGAAAAGTTACATCAGAAACGTAAAAGCAATGCAGTTTAAGAAAAAGTCCTTTCCAAAATATTGTTTCAAGTTGTTCTGAATAAACTCTCTAACATTAATAAATTGAGGGAGCTTTAAAAATTCTGAAACAATACAACTCCATTTACTGTCAATATACAGTTAAACATATTTTTAAATATAATTGAAATGTTTTGTATTAGCCAAAATATAAATATGTAGTGGACTATCGCAGAAAATTGTACAATCAACTTTAATTGAAAAACGTTATGTATCACGTATTACATCGCCCGTCAGTGAAACCACTGAGTACAGAGAAACCATAAATATAAGATGCACGAATCTAATTTTGGACCTCTATGTCTGACGTCAAAAACAAAGACTGCCTCCAGCGCCCAGGTTTGTTATATATGTAGTATGGGTAGTATCGATAAGCTCCGGACCAGCAAAATGTAATATAATGTTTAATAGTATCTCATTCTGTAGATTACGATGTGAAGAACGTTGTTCTCTGTGAGGCTTTCGTCTTCAAAATTCTAGGATTTAAGGCCCTAGAACGCTTTGTTTAGAAGTTACTTAATTATATAGATATAAACAATGCTGTCAACTGTTGCGGGTTGCATTTGACAAGAATAATAATATTGTTTTTCAACAAATCCTTCACATTTTTAAAGTCAAATAAATTTTGTTGCGTCTCCGTAAACATATCTTTCTTTAAAGACCTCTTATATAAATATTGGATGTGTGTGACCGTCGCAAATAATATAGGAGACGATCTTTGAAAGGTCTCTTTCCTTTACTTTTATTTATCCTACAACTTTTACTACTCTAATTCTATTTTACAGACATGTCCTTTGTAAACTTTCTGGCTTGCACAACCGCCATCGTAATATAAGCATCGCAAGAAAACTTGATTTTCTTACTGGACATGATATTCCAAAAGCAATAATATATGATTCATATTTTCTTGCAATCAAAGGCCAAATGAAAATGAACAAGAAGCTACGGTTTCTTGTGCCCCCAGCGACTCGGCGCCCCAATTTTCTCTCTCCTGCCCTGTCTGCTCGTTCCG